ACTCAAAAAGTACTTATCATAATTAAAAAGTAAAAAAATCCGAGCATGAATAAATATAAATTGTTTGTACTCAGAAAAAGAGAATCTGGAAACCGAGACTTGGAATAATAGCTCTTTTATAGAAGTTTTTGCCTATACAATTCGAAAAGGAAAGAATTTATGATTAGGAAAAAATTAAATGACTATTCCTATATATTAGGAAAATAAATTAATGAATATTCAGATATTAAAGAAATAACTAAATGACTATTTTGTCTAGTATGAACTCTGTTTTAAAAGGGAAAGACGAACGACATTTCGCTAAGGACTTCGTGCTATTAATATATACTAGTCTTAGTGTACGCGCGTTGCGTGTGTACTTTGTATAAATGAGAAAAAACTTTTTAAAATAGCATAATTAATTATTCGAAAGATATATTTGTGTTACATCTCTTTATTTTCACTATCTTGATGCGGTTCTGAAGCCAAAGAATTTGATTGCTTGCGGTCTTGATAATGAGGATAATGATCGTCGAGTGAACCTCTATAAGAAGTTAAAATAATTCTTCATGTAAAATGATTTTTTTTTTGGGTTTTTTAGTTGGTCACAATAAACTTATTTCTTTTGTCATTAAAAAAGAATATTTCTTTTGTCGATTGGAATTGAGATCATTCTGGCGCAAGCAGTCATGTAGCAATGCATTTTGTGATTTGGTTCATAGTATATTCTAACTTCTAACAAATATTTTTTTTTTAAATTTGCATGCAATGAAAATATAATTTGATTATTCATTGTACGATCATGCATGCTTTGGATATTCTTGGTTCAATGTTTTGGAGAAAATTGGAAAATAAGTATATTTTTACAATTTTCTAAATTTTTTAGCACGCGCACGAAAAATAAAGCTACATATTAATTGTGAGATTACTTCATATCAATAATATTTTGAACAACCAGATTGCTTTGTATATTGTTACTTTGTGTCTAATTTTTGGAGCATGCTTCTAAAAGAATCATCAATGATATTTAAATAATAATAATAATAATAATAATAATAATAATAATAATAATAATAATAATAATAATTAAACAAGTAAACTTTTGTAGTATTACTTCTCGTTCTAGTTGATGATGGCAAGGTGTTGTTAGTCTTTTTTTGGCCTTTTAGCTTCGTGTGGGATTCGTGTGACTTTTTAGCTTTTTGGCAAGGACTTGCTATATTGCCTAACGAAGAGAGAAAATTTAAGTTGAGGAATTTATTATACACCTAAATATTAGGCTAAGTATTGATTGAAGTTGATTTGAAAATCTTAAATATTAGGAAGTTAATTTAAATTACAATTTAACCCCTTGTGAAATATATTTTTAAAGGGTAAAAAAAGCGAACGACATTTCGCTAAGGGCCTTCGTGCTTTTAATATAGTATAGATAGATATACTCTACACTGTGAAATTCGTTAAAATATGTCCAATGTTGTGTTTCAGACACAACATAGGTTAGATTTGGGCTTTTTTGTCCTTTTGTTGATTTGTCGGTTCAAATCCAACTACAAGCACTCGAACGCGATCGGTTTTGAACGATTACTGATAAAAAATCGATCCAATTGGTGGGTCGGAAGATACTAGTCGGTAGCAAAAATCGACGAAAACGGTTGATATTTACCAATTGAAGGTGGCAGGATATACTATTCTACCACTAGACCATTGGTATTTGTAGGTTTAAGATTTTTTTTATTTGTACTCTTTAATCTTATTTTCTTGCGAAAATGAATAAAATTACCGATCGAAATTGATCGATCAATTTAAATTAGTTGGCCAAAATATTCGACTCATTTTGTTTGAGTTTCTGAATATTAAAATATTTTATTTAAATAAAAAAATGATAGAAGTTGGTCGACTCCTTAAAAAAAATTCCGATATGCATTACCGACCAAATTGGTCGGAAAAATAATTTTTCATATTTTGTACTAAAGAAAACAACCAAATTATTTATAATAAAAAAAACAACCGAAACTGATGAGTTTGTCAGTCTATTTTCGGTCGATTTTCTCGGTTAAAACCACGTCCTTTTAGTAGTGAAGCTATGTTATTACACTAGATGGGATTGGCCCGGGCAAGCCCGGACCCAACACTTTGGATTAGAGCATGTTTTATTTGACAAATACTATTTGATAGTGTAAACCACAAAATCCTTGCACAATAGATTCAACTTATTATCAGGGAAGTTAGTTTTCAACATATCCAATCTAGCACCAGATATTTGAATTAAGTTATCCTATCTAGGCGAAACAACAAATGTTCTATAAAATATTACTACATTGGTTCAAATGCAGAATAATATACATTTACATCTATAAGTATATACGCTGATAAAATAATCAAAATGCTTTTTTTTTTAATCAAAAAATTGAAGGCTTCAATAATATAATAAATTCAATAATACAAGAGGCATAATAAATAATACAACATATACAGTCAATACCAAAAAATTAAATACTGCTTCCTCTCATAGCCTTAAGCCAGATTTCCTTGTTGCAGCATCACTTGCAGTCGCAGAATTTGGCAAACTATTTTCTGTTTGTACTTCACTTGGGTTTGATCTTTCCCAGCAGACACAAGGACACTAATAAATACCAACATGTAATTTTTTTAGTAGGAGATGATGATTTAAGCAAGAGAGGAAAAAGAATCACGAGAACAAAACAAATGACCGTTACTTGCTCTTTGTCCCCAGTAAAAGATGAGGAGAAAATAAATTCCCTATTTGCTTATACCACCTATTCGTATTTGCAGTTCTGAGAACTTTTCAGGAGCCTGAGAGATGCATCTAGACTGAAAAAAATAGAAAATGTACCCATAGGGACACATATCCAGTTCTTAACCTTGCAAACACAAGTAACATAATTCAATAATATAACACAAGGAAAGTTGTAATCTCCGCAGTTCGAAAAACGACTCGAGAAAGTGTTTGAAGATGTACTAACTAAACCATCAACCTGGCAAGACATCACCATGAAGATCCACCTAATCTAACTCACAAACAAGGACCAGCATTGAAGATTAAGATATTGTGTTGCAAACATGAAACCAGTGCACAAACTATAAATAACGTACTTTAAGCTACAAAAGAGATATACATATTTAAGAAGATACAGAACTCTGGAAACCCAAAAAGCAATTGCAGAAAGACAAATCATTGTGTTCTGATGTGCAAACAGGCTTAATGATGTACCTTCTGATACTTTTGTCTGTTCTCCGCCATCAATCTCTCCCTCATCTGGCAAACAAGTTATTGATCAAACAAAGAGAGAAAATTCTGCATCCAGAGTTTCTTTGTCTCCTTTTGAGGGACCATTAACTGGATACTGCTTCCATATGTAAAAGAAACACCTTTACCTAACCAAGAAGATCAAGCTGCATCGATGGAGGTAAAGCAGCTAAAACAGAAGGATCAACTTTTCCTTGCATTGATGGCTGCACATTGCATAAAGAGTTTGGCGGCATGGTTAGTAAGAGACAAAAATCTATTCATACTCGTCAAGAGATACCACAAGCATCACAATAAGATGGAGGTAATTAAGTTCACGGATTGAAATTGTGATAGAAAATGAAGTTCACATACTTGCATCCAATAGACCAGCAAATAACAATTGGAATTTCCTTCCTAACAATGTAAAGACCAAACAAGACAAAGACTTCTTTACTCATTAATGCACTTGAATAAAAGCAGATACGTGCATACAAAAGAAGTTTAATCGTTCCTTAAGCCATAAAGGAAAGCAGACTCTTAATGCAAATATTATTCAGATTCCCAGCAGCAGAATGATCAACAAATCTGATACATGTTATCATTATTGCACACAACTAAAAGGTGCACCTGGACCAAGAGCGTCACAATCATTTTACTACTCAAATGAATTGGTCACTAGCATCATGCACAATCTGAATTTGACATGTGAAGATGAAAATAAAATCATCAAGCAGTTGATGCTAACCAGTATCATCTCTTCGTCTTCATCACTGTTATCATTTTCAGCATGATCCCCAGCACAAGATGTTGATGCATCACCAGTAAAATTCCAGTCTTCCTCTGCTTGAATAGAAGCTGCCAACCTTAATTAACTTGTCAAACTGAGTGTCAGAATCTTTTATGTCCACATTCAAGTAGAAAGCGGAAACATCATAGAAATGCATAACATATCCAAAAAAACAAAAAAGATCATACAACTGACTACTATAACTTACATCTCATCCAGTGCTTCCCTATCATAATTCTCTGCAGCCAAGTCATTTCCTTCGGCCACGTTCTTCACAGTTCCAGTTGCTTTTGTGCTAACCTTTTTACCCTTTGCATCATTCTGTTTCCTCTGGTTCTCCAGATCCACAGCCAGCTCTTTCAGCCTCATAGCCTTAAGCTGCAAGTAGAGATGGATAGAAATGATGGTTGCGACAAAATGAAAGAATGAAATAAGCGCATCAATCTGTGGCAAAAGCCTCTTTGGCAAAGTTAACTGATACTAACATCATCAGTTTACAGTAAGCACAGTTCAATCAAAAAATAATTGCTAATAAATAATAAACCCTCCTCCTTTGTCCGGGCTTGGGACCGGCTGTATCACTGTATAACTTGAACACAGGCGGAGTTAAAAAGTTTTTATTTTTTTGAGGTATGGATCAGGTAAGTTAACGTAACAGAGTTAAACTAAAATCACAGAAATATGTAACAAGTCTTCGTATATTGGGATTCATAGAAATGTTTTGACTTATTTCTTGTCCGAAATAATTTCACAATGCCAATAGTTTTATTCATATATTGCACATCAGAAGGATAAAAACTTGGCCAAGATTTTGCGAGCAAACAAGCTAACTCTGTTGCATAGTAATTTCCAAAAAGTTATTTCGAGCTCAATAGAACATTAGATGTTATTTCCCCTTTTTTCCAAGATCAAGCAAATGAGAAGTAGCATTCACTAAAACAAATATATAGTCATGCAAAGAACTTAAACAACAAAGGCACAAAGTTATAGAAGGGCCTTTTGAATGATCTCATCATATACTATATTATATGTAGATTGATCATCGTCGTTATCTGCAGTAGGTGGTCGGATTAATATTTTTACACAGTTTGCACTTTTCGCCCTCGATAAAGCAACATATAATTGACCATGAGAAAATACTAGTTCACGCAAATAAATTCCAACATAATCTAATGTTTGTCCTTGTGCTTTATTTATAGTCATAGCAAAACACAGACGTACAGGAAATTGTGTTCTTTTAAATGGGATAGGTAATTTTTCATCATCTGAAGATAATAATGGTATTCTGGGAATAAATACATGTGTATTCTTAAAATCACCACTTGCAATTCGAGCGCTTATAACACGACTCTTAAAATCGCAGCATATCAATCGTGTACCATTGCATAAACCTTCACAAGGATTTAAATTTCGTAATAACATGATGGGACAATTTTGTTTCAGTATTAATTTGTAAGGAGGCAAACCAGCAGGATTCAATGAATGTAAAAAATCCTCAAATTGACTTTGATCATTCGGTTCAATAGTTTCATCAGTTGCAACAAATATCTTAGCATCTTTAGGAAATTGAGTTATAAGCCTATTATTTATTTCATCAACAAAATCATTTTTAGTCGTCAAAATAACACGGGAAGTTAAAGTAGAGGAATCCTGAAAAAGAGTATGCAAATCAGGATATATTATTTTGAATAACATGTCCAACGACTGTCTTTCAGTAGTATAAGGAACAATAAAAGATCTCGGGATTTGTATTTTGTTATCCATATTTGTCTTTTCTATTCCATTTCCAATTCGCATCAAATATTCACAGAAAGAGGGATCAATTCTCGCACGCATATTTTCTGATAATCGTAGTTTTTCAAGCTCATTCCATATTTCGGAGTTCAATATGCTTTCTCGAATGAAGTCTTCCTTTTTACCACTCCGAACTACAGGAGAGTTTGTCTAAAATCTCCTCCAAATACAACTACTTTTCCGCCAAAAAGCGTATTTGTGTCCATTATATCTTTTAGAAGAGAATCTAAAGCTTCAATCATGTTTTTTTTTGCCATTGATACTTCATCCCAAACAATCAACTTTGCATCACGAATCAAAGATGCCAGTGAGCTTTGCTTGCTGATATTGCAAGTGAACTTTTCATCGATATTAATCGGAATTTTAAAACGTGAATGAGCTGTTCGTCCTCCTGGAAGGATCGAAGCTGCAACTCCAGAAGTTGCTGTTGCTAATGCTATAAATCTTTTGGATCTTACAGTTGCTAATAAGGCACAATATAAAAATGTCTTACCACTTCCTCCAGGACCATCAATAAAAAATGCTCAAGGTTTGTTGGAAAATACTCTTTGCAGGATGATGTCATATGCCTTTTTTTGTTCAGTATTTAACTTTTTATGTAACACTAAATCTTCATCACTGACAATGATATTTCTTTCAAAATATGCTTCCTTTGCTTCAGTTGCGATTTTTGAAGACTTGATAGTTTCTGGAACAAGGTTAAATTCATTAATATCACGCCCCATAGAATGTAGTATCTCATTAATATGATTCAAGACAGCAAGGTAGATGTCTTTTGTTGCTATATTAGTTAGGCTCTTAAAGTCTTTAGACATTGAATCTTCAAATTGTTCCCACAGTTCTCTTGGATTGCTAGGGTTGCAATATACTAAAATTGTAGCAAATAAACGTCTTAAACTATAAGGCATTTGATAGCAGGCAGCCTCAGACAAACATTCAACTAAGTTGTTGTCACACTGCAACAATCCTCTTTTTTCTGCAGATTCTCTAAATGTGTCACAACATATCCCATTTACTGTCAAAAGATCTTCATATGATTTTGGGCCTCTTATGTTCATTAGTAATAATCTAAGGTAATATCTTTCTCCTTCTGTTGGATGACACGTTACAACACGTCCGATAACATTACCTCGTTGTCGGCGAGTCCACATTTTGTAAGTAGATGACCATACGAAATATTGTGGGAAATCTTTATACAACAACTTAAGCTTTTTAGCATCGTTGTTTGTTTCATTCATGAAGAAGAATTCTGTTAACATCGTCTTCTTAATCATAGGGTTTTTCACGATATTATTTATTGTGTCAGTTTTCCTAAAAGAGACAAATTGTAGCCCATCAAGATGTAACTGGAGATGATAAACACTTGGAGTCATTTCACTAATAGGAAAGGCAAATAAGCGCCACATAGCTTCTGGAGGTGATACCTATCTAGCAGATTGATACTCTTTTATCTCATCTATTTCTATATTTGTATTATTTTCGTGTAAACCAAATAAAATCTTATCATGTCCTTTACAAATATATTTGTATATATATTTGACAACTTTAATATCAGAGCAAACTTCTACATTTATACGGGAATTATATTATTTCAGCAGATAAGGACTGTAAGGAACAACCCATGAGTTATCAAGAAATTGTTTCTTAACTTTCACATATTTACCGGTGTTTCGTCTTCTGTAAATTGGATATGAGTCCTTTCCTTTTGTTGTCTCAGTGGCAAAGCTTTTTGGATACTTAAATTTGCACTCTTTTTTCTTCATACATGAATTGATAGGATTCAAATGACCACAAGGCACATGCATCATGTGTTTAATAACAAGTTTATGTAAGTAAGAGTTTTTATCAGGATCAGGCAGCTCAGCACAAATAAATTTATCGTAAGCCTCGGGTGTTAATAATTTATAGTCATCACAAAGTATAATAAGAAAATGAGCATGTGGAAGACCACGTTTTTAAAATTCTATATAGTGTACATAAAAGCTGCAACTTTTCCAAAGATGTTTCTTTTTAATATATCTGTTTTCATCTCTTCTACCTTTGCTCTGAATACTCGACTAATTAAATCATGTCTATTTTGAGTTTCATCTGTTAGGAGCAAATGTTCTTTTATTTCTGGCCAACATGGATTGCATGTCATAGTTAAAAATATATCAGGCTTTCCAAAATGTTGCACTAATGCAATAGCATCCATATAACGCTGACGCATATCTCTGGGACCACCCGTAAAACTTGTTGGAAGAAAATTCTTTTTCCTATCTTAGAAGCTTCTCTTTCACCAAGTCTTAGGATATCCAAAAGACCTTGTAATACATCAATTCGAAATAAATCTTGATTAAATGAGGCAAAATCTAACCTTTGAGTTTCTACTTTTATGAATTCATCAACTGAATATTGCTGAAATAATCTGCCAGAATGTAAAATTACGTTTTCCTCGTTATCTCTCATCTGAAGTTTGTAGCAGTAATATTCACGACAAGAAATAGTATCTCTTTTTCGTTTACCCTTTTGTAGAACTTCAGCTTCCATGTCAAGTAGTCCATCAATGGAACACATATTAGATACACTTGGAAGTTGTTCATTTTCATAGTAAGCTCTTTTTTTCCTTAATTTGTGTCCAGGTTGTGTAACCTTTTGAATACCACAGTGCCATCCATTTTGACCATACGGAAATAATAGTGGATATTGCAAAGGATCATAGCAACCATAATAGTAATTTACTAATTGGCTCTTGTTACTATGAGTATGAATTCGAATATGTGGTCCAGAACTATTATGGTTTGTTTCTTGTTGTAGCCATAATGCTGCCACATCTGACACAGTTGGTAGGTTATATACTCGTTGATCTAAGGCAGGACCACATTTTAACGCAATATAAAAACTTGACAAATCTGGGATATGTATTAGAGATTTCAAGAAGATACAATAAGGATTTATCTTCAGTATATTCATCAGTTTCTCAACAACTGAGTTTCTAAGTATACTTGAGGAAGCCATTAAATATTGTGGTGCAAAAAGATTTGAATATGAGCCGCCGGCATTTTGCTGTAATAATGGTTCTGTTAAGTTGATGTCACATAAAATGCCTATTGAATTGTCGAATCTTTATTTAGGAAATTCTGAAGAATCTGAACACTTTCGCACCTACCTTAGAATGTACAACAACATGTTTGCATTTACTTCACTTGGAGTAAAGTATGACAAAGTTCTAGCAAAAAGGAAGCATGGAATTTACACATTTAAAGTACAAGGTCAAATGTATCACTTCATAAATGATTTGATTCCGCCAAATCAACAACCAAGAAATTTACAGCTGCAAACTTTATATAATTACACTTTTTCCCAATTCTCAACTATAAATACCCCCTCATTCTTTCATTTTTACTCACAAATTCATCAGTCTCTCTCAATCTATATCTAATTCTCTTCTATAATTGCTTACTTTATTATTGCAATTTCGTGAAAAATTGTGAAGTTGGTGAATTGAAGTATTCAAGTCTTCAAGTTTTCAACGATTTTCAATTTTCAAGAAGTTGTTCGTCAATTCGGTAAACTCGTTCCAACTCTTAAGTTTTAAGAATATAGTTTTGTTTGTTTTAGTTTGTATAATTATAATTAATATGGCCTTTTGGTGAATCTAGTCGCCAAACTACTACCCTTCTCCCGGCTCCCAGAACCAGACCTGTTACCCGTCCTCCTCCACCTATTATTCTTGATAGTGATAACCCTTGTTTTCAATTTTCCGATAGTGAATTTGGCCATGATGTTGCACCAGGCCGCCAATTAAATGAAGAAGTTATGAATGCTCTTTATCCTAATGAAACTATCTTTGAAAATGATGAGGAAAATGATGATGTAGATAAAACCCAACCGGATTTAGATGATACACCTACTAGTCCTGCTAATAACCCAACTGATGCCCCGCCCGACCCACCTGTAGAAACCCCTACTTTTAATAGACAACCTTCTAAAATCCTCGAAACATCACTTGTTTGGAACTTTTTTAGTCAAGTAAGAAAATAAAATAAGGCTAAGTGTAAAACTTGTGGGAGTTTGCTGGCGCATAAATTTACTGGAGACCGTAGCGGTACGGTAGTTTGACTAGACACATAAAGACACACCTTAGAGATAAAGCTAGATTTTTACAAATGAAAGCGCAACTAGAGGGGACAAGTGTAGATACTACGGTTAACCCTAGTACAGGTTCAAATCTAGTTCAACTAGGAATTAACACTATGACCGGTGGCATTTTATATTACGATCCAAATAAAGATCGTGAAGAATTAGCAAAAATGGTTACTGTTACGTGCTTACCCTATAGTTTTCCTTCTAACCCTCACTTTGTGCATTATATTAGAAGAGTTTTTAATCCTACTTATAAAGGTTGGCCTCGCGCAACCGTAAAGAGCGATATTTTTATAAATATAAACATGAATATGAACAATATTTGCGGTATTTATTTACTCATATAGATTGTCGGATTGCTATTACCACTGATATTGGTAGAAGTGGTAATGATTGTGATTATCTTACTGTAACTACTCATTGGATTGATGAAGAATGGAAAATGCAAAAACGCATTATTGCTTATAGAATAATTAATTCACGCCACACAGGTAAGTTTATTGCTAACACTGTTGCAGATATTTGTAGATATTTTTGCATTAGAGATAAAATAATGTCAATTTCTATGGATAATGCTTCTAGTAACACTAATGCTATAGGCTTACTTACAACTACACTAAATCCTGAATTTAGTAATTGTTTCCATTTTAGATGTATTTGTCATATTTACCATTTAATCGTCGGTGATGGTATGTGTGACGACCCAAAGGGTCATCACCTGTTTTCCCTTTCATTCCGTTCTTCTGAGGCCTTAAAAACCTTATTTTTACTTGCCTCGATTTGCGTGCGCAATCCGGGCGCGTAGCCGGAAAGCTTAAATATGAATTCTGTGTAAAAATTGATGAATGTTGATATTAATTTGATTAAAGTTGACTTTGGTCAACATTTTGAGTAAACGGACCCGGACCCGTGATTTG